TCTTGGAGAACACCGACGAGAACCAAAGCCTTTTTCAGCCATCGACCTATCGACTCCTCTACCACCTCACGTACCCCTGACGCATCCTCCATTGAGGATGGTCTTCTACTTTGGCTTGCAAAACTCTACCTGCTCCTGATTCTCCTTCTACTTTGATTAACTTCCTTTTCTCTTGTCAATATTTCCTAACAGTCTATCCATGTCTTGATTCTTTTAAATTTTTTCCTGCTTTTTACACTCAATAATTTAATTTTCACTTCCATATATATAGCCCCAAATGTATAACTAATTCAAATAATGCATTTGCAAATGCCTGCTGAAAATCTCCTTGTGGATGGGCTCTTAGCAGACCATTTCAGTGTATCTAGATTCAAATTTATTAATTAATTCAGTGAACCTGCCCATTTCCACATCTTCTCTAGTAGTTCATGGCATCGCTGTCTATCCAGCCATATGGACAAAAATTCTCAGAGTTGCCCTACTCCTTCCTTACTCTTCAATCCTTATACTTACTTACTCAGGACCTTCTGACTATACAGTGTCTTGAGTCTAAATCCTCCTTTCACTTCACAACTAACCTAGCTCTGCCTTTCATCATTTGTCAGCACTTTAGTAATAGGCTCCTAATTGGTTTCCTCTCTCCAGACTCTCTGAATGCCAATCAGTCTGTGTATTGCTATTCTAAACTGTGCAAAATATGCACAGACTATTCCACCTCCTCCCTAAAAACCCTATCACAGACTTTTGGTACTTTGATTTTATGAATTATTTGCATTCATTTTCTCCATAAATGTGGTGTTTACCTCTTTTAAGGTTTTTTCAAGTCATATGGACAAGTTTTCTCTAGTGATCAAGGGATGTTGCACATAGCTACAGCTCTCTTTTAGTACCCACCTTCAGTTATGCTTCTAGGAAGGTGACTTTTTAAGGAGGAAGACTTTGGGGTCTGACTGGCCTTGATTTGGTCTTCAATCTGTTAAAATGAACCTCAGCTGTCCCAAATTTAGTAATAAAATTTAGTAATAAACCAACATTTATTGAACATATTCCCTGTGCTAGGCACTGTTTTAAGTGCTATTTACTTTTTATAAAACTAAAAACAGCTTTAAGAGAGATCATATTATTTTCCTCATTATTCTGGAAAGGTAACGTGCTTAGAGAGCTTAAGTAATTTGTCCAAAGTCACCTAGCTGGTGAATGAAAGATTAGGCATTTGAACACAGACACTTTAATCCCAGAGCCTATGTTTTTAATGATCATTATATACCACCTCCATAGTAAGGGTATGTAGGATATGTGTCACTAAAACATATGTAAATTATGAGTATACTAATTATCCTGATTGACCACCACATATTGTACACATGTACTGATATTAAAATCTATATCCCACAAATATATATATATATAATCAGTTATGTTTCAGTTTTTAAAAGTATGTAAATTACCTGTCAATGGCTCAAGACATGTCAGTTTACCTTCCCACCTATATGTCAAAAAAATGTTATTATGTTTTAAATTTTTTAATGATTTTCACATATGTGTGTTTTGTCTAGACAACCAAATGGAATTTCTTTCCTGGCCGGTTTTATTTTTTGCAGTCTCCAATAAAATTCAAAACAGTACACTGGACATTGTCAGCCCTCAACAAATGTTTATTGATTGACTGAGTGAATAAATGGAAGTTTGTTTTTATTTGCACTGGATAACTTTTAGCTCTTCTAGAATTTGCTGTTCTTGTTTTCTTTAAATAAAAAAGAGAAAAAAGGCATTATATGTATTATTATTATATGTAAAGATATTATATATATGACAAAAGAATAGATAGATAAATAGGGCTTCCAAATGTTATCTTTTATTGAAAAATGATTGATTAAACATATTTGTTGGATACAGAGTTGAATATCAATAGCTGTGTACAATGTATGATGATCAAATCAAGATAATTAGCATGTTTATCATTACAAAATGTAATCATTCCTTGTGTCCATTAACCAATTTCTTCCTATCAATCTCTTTTTCCAATAGTTTATTTGAAAGATGGCACCTTTCTCTAAATGTTAGTGGTAGGAAGTCATTAACTTTGAGGTTTCATGCACTCTTTGGAGCTGAAGAGATCCGAAATGAAATTGTACAAAATGATTGTTGGTATTGCTTAAAAAGATGACAAGTACTATCAAGAGAAAAAGGTGGCATTATTGTACTGGATTTATAAATAAAGGACAATTTCTCTCCAGCTCCAAACATATGAAAAATATATATATAATTACAATTTTAAGCTTCTATAACCATTTCTAATGAAATTGAATGCACGCTATTCCATTGTGCTTTAGGATACTATTATATTTCATAGGGTCGGCATTTAAGAAAACGTTTAATAAATACCTAGCTTGTTAAAATTATCAATTATTTTTTCTTGTAAGATCACTTTTTCTCCTTATAGTCCAGTATTTTCTATCAAAAGGGGATTCTTAGAGTTTTTTCCAGTTTGCATATAATTCCGAATGTAAAGGCAACCTATTGGAAAAAAATTGCTAAATTTTAAGGTACATTTTAAGCATTTTCTAAATTTAAAGGACTTTTTGGCCAAATTCCCGTTATTAGGTGAATTAGAAGTTTAGGCAATTAGGGAAAATAGTTACTGAAACATTTTGCTGAAAGTGCTACAATGCTCTTCATGTGTCATTACAAAGGATTGATGCTTGCATTCAAAGAGTCAAGGGAAAAGTTAAATAAAAGGGAAAATTTGGTTGGTACACTGTGCAAAAACACAAAGACCAGGGGCAAACTCAATATGGATTACTTCAACTGTATTAAGTAATTTCATGGCAATGGTGGAAACCAGCAGTTCTCTAACATCAAAAAAGATAAAACAATAAGAAATAGGTCTGTTAGAAAAAGAAATTCACAGAGAAGACTAAGATGTGGGATCTCTTTCCTTTGGGAATTCATGAGAAAGGACAAGTCAATCTTTCAGAAAGATCAGGTACATTTTCTGTCTTGAATTACGGGAACATTAGATAAATCCTCTCTGGCACTGTGAATCACTGAAGTCTCCCATTTACAAAACCAAATGTCTCTCACCATTTCCTTTCTAAGTCAGTTGCTGGAGTATACATGATGGATGTGTATTCATAGAAATAATAAGTACACATGGAGGTCTGCGTAATATTGATCCTATACTTCTATACCAGTGTTCTTTGTACACATGCCCCCATTCTTTCTAGAATGGAGATTGACATTCTTTGATTCTTGGATTTCTTGGAGAAGCTATGCATGCACACTATTTTTGCAAATTATTTCAGAAACTTCATAGAGCCTGTGAATCTGCTCCCTGAAATTAGCTTTCTTGTCTCTGAACCCCCAATTTTTTTCTGTTGAAAGGACCTAAATCTTGAATCCTAAATGCTGCCAACTTTCTGGAATTCTGACTATTATATGTCCTTTTAGTACTTGAAATATATTTTGGCTGTAGAGCCAGTCTGAACTCTGAGGTAAAAGCACGGACTTTCAATAGCTTTTGCACAGTAGAAAGTATCTTTACATAGGTTATCTTATTTAATTCTCACAATAACCCTATGAACTGTGACAATTTTACATATGAATAAATCAAGTCTTTGGAGAATTGTAGGTTTTTTTTTGTTGTTGTTGTTGTTTAATTTTACAGGGCAAGTAACTGCAAATTGAGGAAATTTTAACCCAAGGGCTCTAGCTGCTAAATCAGAGATTCCCCATTTTCTGAAATGGATTAGCATCACAGTTTCAAATTTATATTTAAAGTCATATATCTGTCTGTAGAATATTACTGACATTTCTTGTAATTTTTCAATCTTTCAAATCTTTTTGGGATCCCAAAGCCAAGTTTTCGTAATTGATACCTCTTTCCACCAATCGCCATTTAAGTTCAAATACTAGTATCCAAACCCCACATAAATTGTCCCATGCAAATAATCTTTTTTCAATTTAGCTAACTACTATTTGCCATGTAATTTGCAATGAAAAATTTCCCTGTTTGTTTAGAGTGTTCAGCCAAAAGTTATCTCCTCTGAGTTGACCCGGTGATTCTGTAGGCACATGTTAATTCACTGAAACTGAGAATAACAAATGCTAGCAAGGATGTGGAGAAAAGGGAACTCTTCTACACTGTTGGTGTGAATGTAAATTAGTATAGCCATTATGGAAAACAGTATGGAGGTTTCTGAAAGAACTACAGATCGAAAACTACCAAATGATCCAGCAATCCCACTTCTGGATATATACCCAAAGAAAAGGAAATCATCATGTCAAAGGGATTTCTGCACTCCCATGTTCAGCACAGCTGTATTTACAGTATCAAGATATGGAACCAACATGTCCATTGATGGATGACTGGATAAGGAAAATATGGTATATATACATAGTGGAATACTATTAAGTCATAAAAAAGAATGAAATTCTGCCATTTGCAGCAACATGGATGAGCTTGGAGAAAAATATGTTAAGTTAAATAAGCTAGGCACAAAAAGAAAAATACCGCATGGCCTCACTCTTATGTGGGAGCCAAGGTACAAAGAAAGAAAGACCATAATGAAACATCAATCTCTCAAAAGGACAGAACAGACCTATAATTACTGGAGGTGGGAAAGAGGGAGGAAGAGGAGGGAAAGGGAGTAATTGGGTAAGGGACACAAAAACTAATTATGATTTGTAATGATGAACATGATAATAATATTGATTTGATCATCACATACTGTACACAAATGCTGATAGTCAACTCTGTACCCCATAAATATGTATAAATAAAAACAATAAAAACAATAAAAAACTTAAGTCCATTTTAAAAAATTCACTATGTTCTGCATATCTAACTCTCAGTACAAAGGAAGGTATCTAGACCTAGAGATTTCCTGATGGGAAACAAAGAGGCAACTTAACAGGGCTTCTCTGTCTTTGGAGTCTCTGAATCAGGTAAGTATACTTTTTATAATTTGTTATATCAGCAGTCCAAAAATGTTACTCACGTGTTGAAATGCTCAGCAAAGATCAAGTTGGTGGAGGTACCAGTGATCGTTGTCAGTCCGCCAATGGTAGAAGAGTAAGCAATACACAGACACAAAAGCTTACACATCATGTGGTCCTTCTTTGTTCGATATTTGTTTTCTGTGCCTGAATTCTGTTCAAAAACAAAAAATAATGTACTATGAGAACAGCTCTATTTGTGGTCATAACAGGCAATAATAGCATTTGTTATGGACTGAATGTGTCCAACACCTCACCTAGTTCATATTTTGAAGCCCTAAACCCTGATGAGATGATACTTGGAAATGGGGCCTTTGAAAGGTAATTGGGGTTAGATGAGGTCATGAGAATAGGGCTTTGATCTGGTGGGATTAATGCCCTTATAGAAGGAGACATCAGAGGGCTTTATTTCTCTGTCTTCCACGTGAAGATACAGTGAGAAGGTGGTCATCTGCATCCCCACAAGACACCTAACCTGCCAGACCTTAGATTTCCAGCCTCCAGAACTATGAGAAGTAATTTATTTTTAAGTCACCCAGTCTTTGGTATTTTGTTATGGTAGCCTGAGCTGACTAAAACAGTATTTATCTTTTCATCAATAGAAAAGTAACAATAAAAATATTTAAACTGAAACCACCAGAATATTTTGCAAACCTAATTTCATTCATTCCTTCATCCTTCTTTTTGTCCCTGACCCAACTTTTCCCTCATCTCTTCCTTTATCACCACTACTCCCAAAGCTTTCCACTCTCTTTCTGCTGATATTGGTAGTACCTGCTAAGTGAGTTCCTCAGCTTCTTTTTGGAAAAGGTCCCTACCTTGGCACCTTAATGGATGGTACCTGAAACTGAATGTTTTCAACCCAATATACCTCAGCATCGAGAGTCAATATCTTCCTTGCTCCCCACTCACTTTTCCAGAACATTAATCCTGTACTCAAACAAAATAAATTCATTTTTTAAAGGATTATGTAATTTGGGCATTTCTTTCATTCCCGATTTTTTGACCATGGTATTCTGATTCCCTGGTCACCTACTGCTGTTATGTAAGATGACATGTGCTTCTGGCACACAATCATCTTCTGAACTCCAAATTCTGTCAGCATCTGGATGACTATACCACATTCATGAATAACCCTTTGAATATCCAGGCCTCACATATTTTTAAAATCTCATTTCCAAAGACCTTCATGTCTGCTCCACCTCAGTCACACATTCCCACAGTTTCACCGTGGATGGTGCCACATCCTCAAATGGTTCTACCTGAGAAATTGCTATTTCAAAAGTAAGTATTTTGTTTAAGAGTAAGACTTCCTAGAGTGTGAGCCAAAAGCAACTTCATTCTTTCTCTCACCCATATCCTCAAACACACCCTGTTAGTTTGATCCCTGTTGTCTCTACAATGAAATCTGGGGTAGAACTAATACATTTTCTGGTTATTTCAGTCATGGTTAGTCAAAAAAGCAGCCTCATTTCAGTAGTTGAAATGAACCATACTCCATTTAATAATGAAAGTCTCACCTTTATTTAAAGTTAAAACTTCTCCCCTAGATCAGAAAGCTCATAGTTAGAAGAAGGTTTGTGAGTTTGGCTTGTTCTCCCTCCCCCCCCCCCCGGATGTACGGTACCAGTGATCGTTGTCAGTCCGCCAATGGTAGAAGAGTAAGCAATACACAGACACAAAAGCTTACACATCATGTGGTCCTTCTTTGTTCGATATTTGTTTTCTGTGCCTGAATTCTGTTCAAAAACAAAAAATAATGTACTATGAGAACAGCTCTATTTGTGGTCATAACAGGCAATAATAGCATAGTTTCTGAACCCTCCATGGTCAGAGTGGAAGGGGATTGGCAGGATCAGGAGAGGAGTGATAAGGATTAGGAAAGGTCTCATTTGAGTAGTATATGAATTAATATATGGCATTAGTCCTCTCCAGGGTTGCTGGGTGTTCAAATGACTCCATCTGGTAGGCATTTTTATGGGTTTTCAAGGGACTTCCATCATCCGTATCAGAACATCAGATTGTTGCTCCTTCTATGTAGGTAATGAATCTCTTTCACCTGGTTGCTTTTGACATTTGATTTCTGCATGTGATAGTCCACCTGTTCTCTTTACACTGGGGCCAACTTACCTTGTTAAGAAGTCCTCTTGGAGAAAGTTGTCTTTCAAATGACCCCAAATATCACTCCTCCCACCTGTTTCCTACAGCTGGTCCATGGGAACAGGCACCTCTGCCCTGTTGTCGGTGAAAGTGCAGTTGAGACTCTATTTAGTAAGGAGATTCATCCATGACCTTCGACTTTCTAATTTTTCAGGAGTATGTCAAACACTAATCCATTGACCTCTTCTATGCCTCGGGGGCATTTATCAAGTTCTCCAAGTGGTGGTTTCTTAATATCTGTCTCTTTTCTCCTCCTTCATCCTTAGTGGTACGGGTGTGGTGGGAGGAGATCAAGAAAATACTCCAACTTTCTTCTTAAGTAGAGAAAGTTGAGCCTTCTCTTTCTCTCTGAGCCTTCTAATCATTAAGTTGAAGAGTCTAAAACTGTTTTTGGTCACCTTGTTGCAAGTCCTGTGTAAGTGGATATGGGAATACATATAATGTGTGCTTGATATTATAGTTACTTAGGAATAGAAAGAGTCTCATTTTACCATCCTCCTCATCAGGAAATTGGCTATATGGTCCTACCTCCTTCCATTTGCACAACCAAACCACACCAGAGAGTTGTCTAAACTCACTGACTCTATTTTTTTAACCATTTTAACCTGGCTTCAGTCTCCTCATTCCACCCAAAATGCACTTCCCATGATTATAAGTAACCTCCACATTACTCAACCCAGTAAGTACTCAACTTTTTAGTCTCCATTTTGTAGACCTCTCAGAAGCACCTAAAAGAGTTAATCACTCTTTCTTACTCTGCTTTGAGCTTCTGTGATATTTTACTCTTCAGGTGTTTCTTCTTTATCTCTGACTGTTCTTCTGTTTCCTTTCACAGTTCCCCCTTTTCTTAAGCCTGGAATTTCTTGAACCTCTGTCATAGGCCCTTGTCCCTCCTTCCTCAAATATTTCTCCTCAGAAAATCTCATATTTTCATTGATTTGATGAATATTGATATACCAGACTTCTGTCTCCAGCCAAGACTCCTCATTCTAGATCCATATATCCAATTGCCTATTCAACATAATTTGAATGTCTTAAATAAAACTTCAATCCAAAAATGTTCAAAGCCAAACTCATTACTTCCTTCCCCAGGCCTCGTTCTTTGGGATCACCTATACAAGCTAATGGCATCACCATCCTCATAACAACAAACACTTACGGTGTGCAAAGTATGTAATAAGCACTGTTCTAAGTTAAAGTCAGATAAATGTTTTAATTGATTTAATTCTTACAACTCAGTGAGGTGGGTACTGTTACTATACCATTTGCAGATGAAGACATGAGACAGAGAGGGTAAGTGAATTGCCCAAGGTCACAGAACTTGAAAATGGTGGACTTGCATTTTGAAACACGCAATGTTGCTTTAGAGCTCGTGGTTTCAGTCATTGTGCTACGCTGCTTGTTCTCCTTGAAAACATTCCCTTCCTCATCCCACCAAATTCTGTCAATTTTATCTATTTACATATTCCTGACTCTGTTTGCTTTTCTCCAACTTCACTGTTGTGAAGTCAATATTATCTCTAGCTGGGGTAACTGGAATAACATATTTATGGATCTTCTTGCATCAATTCTTGCCAATTTCAAACCTGTCCTAAGCACTGTATCCTTTTGAAAAAATACTAATGTATTTAAGAAATATACAAAAAAATTGTGTTCATATATTTTTGAAATACATTTGGATTTCTTTTGTAAGACTAAAGTGTGTAGGACAGGTATGAAATAGGCAAAAATTGATACAAGGTCACCATAAGGGAGTTATTACAGTAACCCAGACTATATTTTCTGAATCCATTCATCCATCAACATACACTTAGGTTGTTTCTGTATCTTGGCTTTTATGAATAATGCTACAATGAATGTGGGAGTCCAGATATCTTTTTGATGTACTTATTTCCGTTCTTTTGGATATATACCCAGAAGTGGGATTGTGGGATCATATGGTAGTTCTATTTTTAATTTTTTGAGGAAACGCCACAGTGTTTTTCATAATAGCTATACCAATTTATATTCCCACCAACAGTGTACAAGGGTTCCCTTTTCCCCAGGATGAAAACAGCTATTGCCCCGTTCCATACAAGTAAGCATGTCGTCTGAGACAATGGCATTGAAAGATCTTTTAGAGAAATAATGATAGGAAAAAAATTACTACTCACTAAAAGCCGTCATAGATGTGGAAATGGTATTTAGCATGGCAGGGTCAGGTGCATTGGATTGTAATTTACCTTTTGCTTTTTAATTAACTTAAAGGTCAGCCCCCAGAGAAATCTATACTTCACCCAAAACAAATTAATTTACAAATGTCTCCTTTTGCCTTACACTTTCTACATGGAAATGATTTGCATTTTCCATATAATAAAACTTTCCATTGAAAACTTGAAAAAAGTATGTAAATGAAATAGCAAAATAAGTTTAGAAATTCTTATGAGTGATACAGTGACAACTGAAATTTAGAGCTGAGGTATTAAATATATTCTACAGGAAAGACTTCAAACATAAACCAGAAAGTAGTGCATAATTTGGATATTATTAAATTTATAATAAGGATGGAAACTTAAAAAGATAATGTGCATATAATTTCTCATTGCCAAACAAAAACATTCAAAAGTACAAATAAAGAAAAAATTGAATTTTCTATAAAATCATAAATGCAAATATATGCATATACTTGTATATATATATACTTGCATATAAAAATGATTAAAATGAATTGGCAGATATAAAATAAAAAATCAAAACGCAAAATAATTAATGTTTTTCATGCAAACATTATCATTATTTATCCCTTACGTATTTACATTTTTTTCTGTATAAAGACCTTTAAAACATACATTAATGCTACTGCATGTAAGTTGATATTTACGCATGAATGATTTATAAAGGCATTAAAAACTCAAGGTAAATTCAAATTCTACAATAAATGGTAATCCTAATATATCATAATACAAATTAAAGGTTAAGTGGAGGTGTTTATGAGGTAGGATGGGGGATGAAAAA